CCCCCCCCCCCCACCCTTATTCTTTTTTTCCCTTTCGCTCTTTTTTGTGTGTTCATTTGTATTATCTTTAAACAACCTCAGCAATATTTATTCTATAAATTTAGCCTGGTCCAGTACCATTCTGTACCTCTTCTTTTCCTCCCCAAACAATGATGTTCACACACACACTCACACACATACACACACACACACACACACACACACACACACACACACACACACACACACACACACCAAACAATCGACGATGAAACCAACCTCTCATCCCCTAGTGACATAGCCTAGGCTTTCTCACTGAGAAAGCCTAGGACATAGCCCATCACGCGCTAATCGGCAATGCGGGCCCACCACGGCGCGGACTAAAGCCCAAAGTAAAGATAAGTTAGTGCAGTATCTTGGTAGTAGAGAATCTTTGGAATTGCCTGCATAACAAAGTATGATACATTGCAAGCAATTGCGTGCTTATAGCAAAAGATGTGTTGGTGCACGCAGTTGCGTGCATTTAGACACTTGCTTCCCCGAGAGCCAGAGGAAGAGAGAGAGAGAGAGAGAGAGAGAGAGAGAGAGAGAGAGAGAGAGAGAGAGAGAGAGAGAGGTGTGTGTATGTGTTTGTGAGTGTGTATGAGTGTGTGTGTGTGTGTGTGTGTGTGTGTGTATGTGTGTGTGTATGTGTGTGTTTACTTTGTGACCTTGCGAATGTGCAAACTACACGCCGACCGATCTGCCCAAGCTCTTATCAGTGAGCGCGTGTGTCAGGCCTGTTAAAATAAAGAACGCATTGACCAAGATTCTCCGAGCTAGGGGGTGGGACTGGACGCTTCGAGTAAGAGCGTTATTGAAGTGGGGCAAAGCGAACTAGAGTACATAAGGTCGCTATGGGGTGGGTTCAAGGAGATTAAAAGTTCTAGAGTCTAAGCTCCTTGGGTGGGTTCGAGAAGGCCACATTACCAGGACACACCACTGAGTAATTAGGTCACGGCTAATGGGAAGAGCCAATACTTTCTTATACTAACTTCTCTGACCGTCTAGGGACGAGCCCAAGGAGGTTACAGTAAAGTCTTTGGACGAGCCCTAGGCTTTCTGAGTATCATGGGTCGCTTGTCCGGTCGGCAAGCAGTCACAAATGGTCAAAACTTCACACCTCTCAGCTGCTATCCTCTCTGATAATGACGTGCGTCGGTCTTATTAATCCAATTACCACCAGTGCTTGCATTTCATTGGACCACTGTTTGAATATCTCCTTTGCTTCCACCCTTAGCCCCACCCATGTATGTAATAAAGCACAGTCAACCAATGCCGCCCCTCATTGCCATGTAACACCGATTCGAGGAACTCTTTTCTCGGCTAGCTGTACGATCAGGGCGGCAGGCGCATTGGTTAAACTAATTTCACACCTCTGGCTTCTGGCTACCAATGAAAGTTTTCATCCTGGAGCGTCACTCGAGCACTTTCACTTGCACTCGGGAAATTTCACACCCACACCACCCTCACCATCTTCATCTCTCAGGGCTCTCATAGATGGGGTAACATCTACCCTCAAATTGCACCCCTACTCCCCTTCCTCGCCCGGCAGCATGGCGTTACGTTTAGAGCCGGCGGAACCAAACTTGTAAGTTTTGTTTCAAATCAGAGATTCCGTTATGACAGCTTTCCGTTTTACTTAGGTTTCCGTTAAGGCAGGGTATCTCCTTTGCCCTAAGCGATCATAAAACCGTCTAGCCTTTGCCCCTCCCACACAGTCAGCCGATGCCATCCCTTTTGTACGAGAAGCACACATTATCGTGCAGTCCTCGCTCCTGTAACATGATGACAACGAATCCAGGAACTGTTTTCTCAGCTGCTGGCCGTGCGATCAAGACGGCTTGCATTGGTCAAACTGATTTCACACATCTGGTTACTGGTTTCCGTGCTGAAGAGCCACCCGCGCACTTTCACAGGCACTGGTGATATTTCACAACCACTCTTGGGGACCACCTGACCTGACCATCTGCTCACATGGATGGAGAAACATCGAGACGACCTTATTTTATAATAAGGTCGTCTCGGGTAACATAGATCTACCCGAAATCGAACTCCTACTCCCCTAGGACGCCTGGCGTAGCGTAAAGAAAGTAAAGAGCTGACGGAACCAAGTTTGATAGTTTTTTTGTTTCAAATTAGGGTTGAGTTGGCAAAGCATTTTCCATCTTAGACTGGTAAAACCCAAGGAGCCTGTAAACTCCTTGGTATAAACCCCACCGAAGGAAAAGAGATTCTTTTCTCCGTTTCTACGATAAACAGGTTTCCGCGCGCGCATTATCTCGCGTGTGTTTGCACAATACGACGATTTGCTTGAGCTAAGCTTGAGCCCACACACCCCTTGCAGTTATCCTCCTTCAAAGACGGCAATGCTACCCCCCTCCTCCCCGCTTTTCACCTCTTCTCTCTCTCTCTCTCTCTCTCTCTCTCTCTCTCTCTCTCTCTCTCTCTCTCTCTCTCTCTCTCTCTCTCTCTCTCTGTTTTTGATAAGTGTGGGTGTTTTTTTTTTGGTAAGTGTTTTACAGCGCTCGCAACTGCATAAGGTCATATGCGCGCGGGACACATTAAACTTTTTCAGTTGGTAGGAAATTTTGAATTTTGCCGGGGTGGCGGCTATTCTTATCGATTTTAGACCACCAAGGGATCTTTAACGTGCACAACTTGCACACGAGCCCTTCGACATTTTTCGCCCTTGTCCGAGATGGCTAGGTGTAGATCTTTCCTACTAGAAGATCAGGGGTGTGGCTGAAAGACATCAGTAAGAAGGAGCCGAGGAGTAGCAGTAGAAAGGCTGCAGAAAGAGTCAGGAGCCCAGAGGATGGGGCAAAGGAGGTGAAGGGGTTGGGGGAGGAAAGTGGAGACGAAAGCAGACGACAGAACATTGCTAGAGAGCAGGAAAGGGGGTGTAAGGAGACAATTTTAGAGAAGGAAATTTTTCGGTCGCTTCCCGGATTCGAACCCGGGACCTTTGAATGAGAGGCCAGCACCTTAACCTATAGGCCACGAGAGCCCCCCCCCCTCTCTCTCTATCTATCTATCTATCTATCTATCTATCTATCTATCTATCTATCTATCTATCTATCTATCTATCTATCTATCTATCTATCTTTCTTTCTCTCTCTCTGTCTTTCTCTTTCTCTCTATGTCTTTCTCTTTCTGTCTGTCTGTCTGTCTGTCTGTCTGTCTGTCTGTCTGTCTGTCTGTCTGTCTGTCTGTCTCCCCCCCCCCCCTCTCTCTCTCTCTCTCTCTCTCTCTCTCTCTCTTTCTCTCTACATTTAGTTTACTGGTTAAATTGTAAGTGTTGGCTTCTTTCTCTTTTTGATAAAAAAAATTGCGCATCACTTGCAACGAACTCTTGTGTAATTTGTAAGAATATTTCCTCCTTTATGATTAGAAAAGCATACGTTAGCCTATAAGATTCATATAATAAGAAGTTATGGGCATGTTGCAAGACCCACCCTATCCTAGCGCGCAGCCCCTCCGTAAAACGCGTCACCCTCCAACAGGAACGGGCATTCCCACTTATTGAATAAGTGGCGGCAGAGAGCAGAGAGCAGGCGAACCGGGGGAGTCATCGAGTCGAGAGAGAGGGCAAATGCTCAAGTACGAGCATGATAAGAAAATGCTGCGTCACTGAGGTAGCCTACATTATACGGTGGCCTAAGCTACGTGCATGAATGTGTATCTAGACGGTCATAGATAGTATAAGAGCGTATAGATGTGTATATATGTGAGCGCGTGTCGAAACGTTACCTCACAATCATGCGATCCATTAGTCTTCCTGATTCTCGGGTCTTGTTTGTTTGTTTCAGTTTTTGCTTTTTGGTTGTTTGTTGGGGGGTTTTTTTTGCTTCCTTTTGTTTTTGTTGTTGTTTTTTGTTGAGTTTTTTTTTGGGGGGGAGGGGGGGGGGGCGCCTGCTGAACTCGGGAGAGGTGGAATTCAAAACGTGCCCATGCAATTTATTACCCGGATACTGAGGTGAAGGTGAATTGCAAATATTTTGTTTTGTATTTTGTTTACCAATCGAGTCGTCAACTCCAATGTAGGGACTGTGTTTCTTGAAGACCTGAGTAAGCTTTTACCGAGGCGTATATAATTGTTACGATACCTTCGTAGGCCGATACGCCTCGGCTGCTACGTTAATGACATAGGAAACAGGAATACATGTACATTAATTAATTAAACACGTAGATTATGGGTGAATGACACTATATGATCTCTGTCTCTCTGTGTAATATTATGTGTGTGTGTGTGTGTGTGTGTGTGTGTGTGTGTCAGATGTGTGTGGGAGAGTCGGGGAGAAGACTCAGTGTTGTGTGTGTGTGTGTGTGTGTGTGTGTGTGAGAGAGAGAGAGAGAGAGAGAGAGAGAGAGAGAGAGAGAGAGAGAGAGAGAAAGAGAGAGCTCACAGCGGCGTCCTTGAAACCGTTAATAGCGGATCTGCGGCTTTTTGGCTTTTTGCCCTCTCGCGTTACAGTTCGAGCTTGGACCGCTTTCCGCGCGTGGATGTTTTCGACTGCAAGGAAACTCAACTAGATCTAGAATCTACACTCCCTGACTATTATTGACGACGTGACGGGCAGTTTTCTACCCGAGCACGTCCCAAGGTACGATGTAATATATAACACACCGCATTACTCTAACCGGTTTGATATTATCGCCAACCCCTAGCTGATTCACCACAGTTATTCCTATATATTCAAGTTGTGCAAGTGATATGAATGTGTGTGGTAGCTATAGATGCAGGTTTTTCCCCCACCATTATTCGCCATAGATTTGTAGATTATCTATTGTTCGCCGTTATTTTTATTTTTGCATATTATATATTCGTGCACCGCACTGTTGGCCTACGATTAGTGTGCACCCCACTGTTGACATTATTCACGCTGCACACTGATGCTGGTGTCGTGTGTGGTAGACGTGGGTCTTTCACTTTCAGTTTAAATCCCTGTCAGTGAGACAAAATGCATGTAACCTATTTATTTGAAGTTGTGTGTAATCTATAGACTGGTCAATTCTTCGGGTGTAATCATTTTTCAGTGTCGTTGTAGGTTAGGCTAGGCTAGGCCCCTTGCCCTCCGATAAAAGGCAGGTCAGCATTTTATCTCACCAACCGTCAGGCTCTATATGGTGAAACTTGTGAGCCGCAGTACCGGCCGCTGGTCAGTTCGCTGGTTAACCCCGCGAAAGTCAGACGTGTTGTTCTACAGCCCCGCTAGCGCTACTTTTATCCACTATTGTGTACTTATTATATATTCTCTCACGGATATTCTCGGTCATTACATTTTTACCAGTTTCCAAGTTCACTGCGGTCGTAAGTTTTTACAAACTTTTTATTCTTTTATCAATATCCCCCAAAATTCCAAAATACCGTACGACTCTTTGTCATCGGCTTAAAGCCATCAGCAACACTGCACCTACGGTTTTAAAACTTTCAGTACCCAATACGATAGAATTTATTTGAGTTGACAATGGCATTGGTAGTGAAATCTTCACTAAGTTTCTTTCAGATACATGTATATATGGAAGATGAGTTAATGCATGTTGTTGTTGAAAGCGCTCCGGGCAAGGACGATATAAATGGCACCATCCTGGAAGCCTTACAGGCCAATACAAAAATCATGGAAGAACTGAGGAAGGAATTAAACGCTTTAAAGCGAAAGAAGCGCAACCGATCGCCTTATTCCTCCGAAAGTTCCATCAGCCGCTCACCTTCCCCCGCTCACACAAGCCCCTCCCGCCCTAAAAAGAAGGCAAGTGACCGCTCCTCGGACACGGATGAGTGGGAAAGCCATATTATGCGAACAATATTATGCTGGGAAGGTCTCCTCGGGTAAATCTAGCAATCATAACATCGTCATGTTTCATAGCAAGCATTGACATTTACCACGCTTACTTCAGAGTCCCAATTGCGCCCCAGAACCGCAAACTTTTAAAGTTCAAATGGAAAGGCAAACTGTACCAGTTCACTTGCTACCCTAATGGGTTATCTCAGGCCCCACGAAACTTCACAAAGCTGACAAAACCCATCTATGGGTCCTTACATAAAATGGGCCACATCTCCACTGGATTTCTCGACGACTTCCTGCTCATAGGCAAAACAAAAGAAGCTTGCTCTTTTTGACAAGCTGGGGTTTGTTGTTCACCCCAAAAAATCTGTCTTTGAACCAAAACAAACAATGACATACTTAGGGTTTATAATTTCATTAATAGCTATGACTGTAACTTTGACAGAAGAGAGGAAGACAAAATCCTACAATGTTGTCTTGATATCTACTAGCAGCCATCTATCACAGTAAGGGAGCTTGCTTGCCTTATATAGGTCAGTTGGTTGCTGCTTTCCTGGCGTAGTGCATGGGCCATTATACTATAGATCCCTTGAACATTACAAAAAGAGGGCATTAACAGAAAACAAGGGGAAATTGGGAAGCCTCTGTATCTCTCTTCCAAATGTCTAGAGATGAAATCCAGTGGTGGATAACCTCCTTGCCTAATGCCTATGGAGCAGTAACACATGGTAATCCAACAATGGTTATCACGAGTGATTCTAGTTGTTCTGGCTGGGGAGCTGTTTGCAATGGTGTGACTACAAGTGGACACTGGAAGGCCAGTGAAAAAATAACATTTCACATTAACGAATTAGAACTCATGGCATCTTTCCTGGCTTTACAATCCTTTACAAAAAATGAAAGAAATTGGCATGTGAAGTTGTTACTCTCGACAACACAACCGCACTCCAGTGCATAAATAAAATAGGCTCCCAAAGGTCACATAAAAACTAAACGCACTGACTAAAGGCCTCTGGTCATGGTACACTGTAAGAGGTATTTGAATTAGCGCTGCCTATATACCAGGGCATCTGAACACTGAGGCAGATAGAGAGTCAAGGAAAATTAACATGGACTGTGAATGGATGTTGAATCCAGAGCTTTTGACACATGCATTCAATTTGCTGAGCTTTACACCAACCATTGACCTCTTTAATATGCTTCTAGAATAAAAAGGCAGGTCGAATGCTATGTCTCATACAGACCTGACCCAGAGGCCTTTGCCATTGATGCTTTTATTTTAAATTGGCTAGTCTTTGACTTCCTTGCTTTTCCCCCTTTTTCTCTTGTTGCTAGAGTGCAGCAAAAGATTCAAAGCGATCACGCCACAGGGGTGGTAGTGGCTCGAAACTGACCAAATCAGGGGTTCTACCCAGTACTGATGGGGATGTTGATAGACAGACCTGTGCTGACCTCAGCCAGAGAAGCAACCTGTTGCGCCTGCCATCGTCACCTAACCTAAAACACCCACTTTACAAGTCACTGAAAATTCTCATTAGCAAAGTGTCAGGCGACAATATGAAGGTCAAGGCCTTTCACAGAGCGCAACAGACGTTATCATGTCTTCGTGGCGACCACAGACGTAAACGCCACTTGCATCAACAAATGGCAAAAGTTCAACGCTGAAAGGAACGAATATCCACCATCGTCTTCTGTAGCCACAGCTATAAACTTCTTGGCCGACCTGTACCAAAAGGAGCCTCTTACTCAGCACTTTGCATCTCGAGATCTGCCCTCTCCTGTGTACTAGACACCTCACAAGAGTGTTACTTTCGGGAGCCTGCACTCTGTGCGAAGACTTATGAAAAGGTTCTGCGAACTCAGACCCTCAATCCCCACAAAGTCACACATTTGTACTTGGAATGTTGGTAATGTGTTAGAGATGTTGGAAATTTGGTGGCCATTATATACCTGCCCTTAGTCTGAAAGACTTGACCTTAAAAGTCTGTATGCTTCTAGCGCTTCTCACAGGCCAACGTTGCCAAACATTGCAAGCTTTAGACATTAACCTTTATGCAATTAACAGAAAAAAGCTGTACTTTCTTCATCCCAGATTTGTTGAAACATTCACGCAGAGGGTCACGTCAAGCCCCAATTGAGCTGCTGGCCTTTTCTCCTAAACAGGAGTTATGCATAGTGAACCACATTCATGTATACATGTATCTTGACTGCACTTCAACGCTAAGATGTACAGAGAGTAAATTTTTCATATTATAAGCTTGCAAAAACCACATTAACGTGTGAGTAATGATACAATTGCACGTTGGATTAAAACAGTGTACTAGAAATGGCAGGCATTGATCCTATGCCCAGTGTAGATGGAAGGTTGAAGTTTAATATTTTTTGTACAAATAAATGAGTACATATAGACTCATGCAAATAGCAATATCATGTAACAATCGTGCTTCAAAGCCGTGTTGGTGGATATAATAATATGTGAAGGAAAGTGCACAGCTATGATGCTTTGAAATCATTCTCAATAATTGACTGACCAAAATTGGGGGTTTGCAGTCTTCTTATAAAATTTGGTAAATGGGTAAATGTGCTTTCTCTTGACCAACCAGCTGCTTCCATGATAGCAGTGGTGGACATACCAATGCCAGGGGCGTGGCTTGTGCTAGCTGGCTGCACGAGTACTATGGGCACTGTAGAGCATTCATGGTTGTTGCTCTGAAATCTCAAGTTTCACCGTAGAGCCTGACGGCTGGTAAGACAAAATTAGAGAAACAAGCGAGCCTTAGCTTGGTAAGGTGATGATTGTTTCCAATTTTGTGGAAACAGTCGTCAGGAACGGAGGTGTAAATTAACTTGCC